TCTTCTTTACAACATGACTAATGTGAAAATATGTTTAATAGGAATGCATATGTACAGCCTATAGCAGATTGCATGCCATCTTGGGGAGGGAGGCGAGGAGAGGGGGGAGATAATTAAAAACTCAAAATCTTATAGAAGTGAATGTTGACAACTGAAAATAATTAATAAAAAAACATGCAAAGGAAAAAAAAGAGAGAGTTTGGCCAGATGGTATCTGAAGTTCCTTCCAAGTCTATATTTGTAATACTAAGTCACATCACTTCTCTAGGTCTTAGCTTCTTCATCTGTAAAATCTGACAAATGAAGGGGTTGGACAAGATAACCTCTGGTGTCCTTTCTTGCTCTAGATCTATGATTCTATCACCTGAATTCATTTAATCACCCTGAACTTCAGTTTCTTCATTTGTAAAACAGAGCGAAGGAGTGGAACTAGTTGGTTCTGATGTCCCTGCCAGCTCTAGAGCTATGAACCTAACTCTCATTCAGGCTCAGTTACCTTCCTTTTGCTTAAGGGTCAAGGCTGGATCCATGACATGCCCCACTGAAATCCTATACCTCTGTCTCACTGGGGTGTGGAGGTCACAGTTCTGAGAAGCCACGTCAGAAGAGCCCCAGCTAGGGGAGGTTCTGCCAAGCTGGAACACCTTCAATAGCTTGTCCGAGGTTAGGCAAGCAGTAAGTATTATCAAGGACATTAGATTCCAGCGTCTTTGCTTCCAAATTCAGAACTCAGACATAGACACAAAGGAAATTCCTTTCCTTCCCTCCTGGACCTCACAGCAACAGCAAATGAGACTGCAGCAGTGGTAGCAGCAACAGAGAGACCTTAGTTTTATTCCCTTTTTCTGTGCAGTTTGAGGCAACCCAGTGATGGTGTCCCTTTCTAAGTAACGTATAATGATTGACTCACACACTCTGTTCAGGATTTTTTTTTAATCACAAACACTAAATTTTGCACCTTTGTTCTTAGATTTTCTTGACTCTATCAAATCACTGTTCCCAAATGCCACTCAATGGATAGATGGCATCCTTCACGATGGCTAGTCTCTGATCAAACTGGGTTAGCAGTTGCTGTCCCCACACTGGGGTCTGCACCCCCAAGAAAGGAGACAGTAAAAGTGCCCATCCCAGTAAATAATGAACAGGAACATTGGCCCAGCAATCCTGACTGTCCAATTCTAGGCTGAGATCCAGAGACAGAATCATCAGATCATAGATTCAGAAAAGGAAAGGACCTTAGAGAATCATATCTAGCCCAACCCTCTCATTTTACAGATGAGGAAACTGGAGCCCAAGAAAGAAGACTCATGATGGAAAATGCTATCCACATCATGAAAAAGAACTGATGGAGGCTGATTGCAGATCAAAGCATACTATTTTCACTTTCTTCATTTGTTTCATGATTTTTTCCATTTCTTTTTTCATAACATGACTAATGTGGAAATATATTTTACATGATTGTACATGTACAGCCTATATAAGATAGTTTGCCATCTTGGGGAGGGAAGAAGAGAGGGAGAAAAATTTGGAATGCAAAACCTTATAAAAATAAACATTGAAAATTGTCTTTACATGTAATTGGAAAAAATAAAATACTAAATAAAATAAATAAAAAGAAATGCATAGTTCTTCAGTGATCTTAAACTGTTTCCTTGCCAAAATACAGCTTCAAAACAAATTTTAAAAATTCTGCTACTCTTGGAACACCACAATCTACACACACAGGCTCTCTCCCCACCAAGCAGAGTGGGTGTTCAATCTTAACAAGGACTTACAAATTCTATGTGTGTCTTCCAGATGTGAGAATCCTGCTAATGAGGACCCCTGCATAGACTCATTTTTATTCTTTGGGTTTGACTTTAGTCTATGCCCTCTATGTGGAAAACAAATGGCTTATGTAACTACTGAACTGGGGCGGGGGGGGGGGGGAAGTTCAACACCACAGATTAAGAGATATGGAGAAATGCAGGAGTCAAAATAGGCTACAATATATCACCACTGGTGAACTGTGCAAGAAATAGCCTGAAAGGTATCATCTACGATGATTGGAAATGGAGGCCAATCATATAATTAGAATGGGGAGTAACAGGAAGTATGAGTGCTACACTGATGTCCATGGGATAGTAAAAAGACAGACTCTAGAAGAAGTTCTCTAGTGCATGAGATCAATACTCTACAGATGACTGTAGGAGATGTAGACAAGAGTTACAGAAGATGAAGTGTGGATGTGTTCTAACCAGCCCCACTGGAAGGAATCATTGGTGAGACCATGGATCCCTTAAAATATTAGAGTCTCAGCATCTGCAGTATTTCTTTCGGCCATTTTAATTTCCTGTTCTCTTTACCATAGTGTCCCTGTTAGACAGGTAAACACACCTACTACATTTCTTAGGCAGGATACACAGGAGGGCTTCTAGCACCTCTCACTAGCAGGTTTGCTTTTGATCTGGTCAGATAGGAAGACGGGAATGGAGTCAAAAGAAGGGGTTAACTTTATTCTAGTCTAGTCTTCTCAAATGGAGTTTGCTGATAATTGGAACACCAACTCCTACAGCATTCCCTAACAACCCTTCCTGCAGGGGCCGTTGTGAAGAGAGAGCAACTACCCCTCCATCTTGATGGGGTCAATTGAGACAGCTACAACTTGTGCACTCCTCTAAATCCCCTCAAACCTTAATGGGGGCCGGTTGAGGCAAACACACAGATCCCCTCTCCCAAGCCTTGATGGGGGTCAATCAAGGCATGCACAGCATTCCAGATTGTGCATTCATCCCTAAGGGGGTCCCCACTCACTGACTAGCACCCACTTGCTTTATAGGGCAACAGACAAAGAAGGCATATTGCCAGCAATAGCCTCACAATTTTACATTACTTCATCTCCATAGTTATTGAGCTTGTGTAGTAGAAGCTGTTTTCAACCATAGTTGGTTGAAACTCATTGGTGAGAACTCATATCTAACACCTGGAAACTAGAGATTGTTATGACTATGAATCCTGGGAAGAAAACTCTAATAAAGAATAACAAAAATCCACCTTATACACACTAAAATTCACCTTATTTACAATCCCCTTTATACTTTGTAATTTTGTTGCTATAGCATTAGATTTTGAGACAGAAGGTCAACCTAAGCTCTGCACTCTATGCATGACTTTATCCTCCCTCAACTTCCTCCTTTGCAAAATGAGGAGAGCTAGATGACCTCTAATTCCAGTGATGCCCTTCACCTGTCAAACCTACTCCTGATTATTTAACAACTCTCCCAACTACCTCAGAGAAATAGCTTCCCAATAAAACTAAAAAGGACAGAAGAGACACTTCGCAGGTAAGGGCTCAGGTTTACATTTCTATAGCAAAGTGAATGTTTGGAGAGGCAATCGTTTAGAGGGAACCACAGCCAACTAACTCAAAAGGAAGGTTTGTACATGGGACTATAAGTTTATCTTAATTAATTAATTAATTTATTTATTTATTTTGGCTAGGCAATGGGGTTAAGTGACTTGCCCAGAGTCACACAGCTAGTAAGTGTTATGTGTCTGAGGCTGGATTTGAACTCAGGGGACTGTAAGTTTAGACATTTATCTAGTCCAATTCTTTCATTTTGTAGATGAGAAAAATGATGCCTACAATGGCATCTCACCTTAGGGCAGCTGAAAACTCACTGTAAGGAGTAAGTCTCACCTTAGGGCAGCTGAAAACTCACTGTAAGTAGTAAAGGTGGGATTTGAACCCGTGTCATCTAGCTTCCAAATTTAGCACTCTTTCTAGTACTCAATGGTGTATATGTGGAGGGATTAGGGGAGGGTTCAGTTTGCTTTGAGGATCGTACCCTTTATTCCTTGAAGAACCTTTGGTTGGGCTAAATTACACTGACCTTCAATCCCTTTTTACTGATTGAGGTTCAACTATGGTGAAAAAAGAACGAGAAGGCAGTATGTGAAAACGGGCAAGAGTCCTCACCATTAAGAGATGACACACTATCCCTACCATCCGACTATTTTCTGACTGTAGTGAGAAAGTAGGAATACTAAGAAAGTCAAGACAACAAAAACTCTGTAGCATTTGTTATGTATTGCCTCCACACACACACCCTCCCCCATCAAGCCCAGGGGATGTTCAATCTTAACAAGGACTTCTAAATTCTGTGTGTGTCTTCCAGATGTGAGAATCCTACTAATGAGGACCCCTGCATAGACTCATTTTTATTCTTTGGGTTTGACTTTAGTCTGTGCCTTCTATGTGGAAAACAAATGGCTTATGTAACTAGTGAACTGGGGGGGAGGGGAGGGGGAGAATAGTTCTACCCTCATGAAAACTAGATCTAGCCTTAAATAATTCTTAATAATAACCCTCCAGCTTCTTTTGCTCCTACTTTGACTAGCAACCAGGTCTTTGAGTGTGGCTTCTTCACTGAGTCCAAGTTTTACAGAACAAATCCTTTTATTAAGGGGATTTGTTCTGTGACGTTTGGATTCAGTCAAAGGGCTGTACTTCAGGACCTAGAGGGCCACATGTGGCCTTAAGGCTGCAGTTTCCCCACCGCTGCGTCAGTAGCACTCCCTTCACAGCTGGCCCTTATCCCTACGGATCACTGCTCTGGAAAGTTCCTTCCTCTTCACCACTGCTCACAGCAGAAGCACCCTGTGGACTTTTTCCCACAGTCTGCATTTGGATGTGGGTGTAAAATGAGCTGCTCCTATCCTTTGTAAAGTGCTTAGATACTTTGGGCATAGTTCTGTTCAGTGCATGCCCATTTCACTTAGTATAAAACTACCTTTGGAAACATCTACAAGGCTTGGGAGACCACCAAAAGAAGATCCACTTTTCCTTCAAGGTGTTTTGTCTTTTCTGTAGGCTGAAGGTTTGGCAATGTTGAATACTGAGGGAAACCTAGTGGGAAAATGAAATGTGTATTGAGTTCCTATTATGTGCAAAGCATTTTTTGCCTTGCAAGGCTCCCAAGCCTTGTATTTATTATGCATTTCCCGTGTTATTGTTCCAGGTTCCATCATGGATATTCTTTCTGAAGGAAATGTTACATTTGCCATTACTCTTCTGAAAAAGCTTTGTGAAGAAAAACCACGAAATGTGGTGTTTTCTCCCCCAAGCATCTCGTTTGCCCTGAACATGATCCTCTTGGGAACAAGGACAGAAACAGCAGCACAGATAGCACAGGTATGTTTACCTATCCTGCCACCTTCATGTCCCAAGTGAGTTGGGGAGAGAGCCCTGTGCCTATAGTATGTTTCAAGATTATCAGGAGATAGAGATGTAATGGTCCAGCACATACTGTGATTAGGATGGCAAACAAACAAAAAAGTCAAGTCCAAATATCGCAAACAAACAAACCAACCAACCCACATGTGGATTTTAGAAAACTTTGGTTGATCTTTGAAAAACATCAGAGAGAACTCTGAAAGTAGATGTTAGAAAAATCTGAAACAAAAACCTACTACAGTGATTGAGTGAAGGAAAGCCTTTATTACGCTTCTCACAAGAGAAGCAGTCATGATGCCCTTTATTAGCACGTAGAATCAACTTTCAAACTGTTAATAAGATCCATACTCTACCCATCAGGGCTACGATTGGTCTAGTTCATCTGAGTTACACCCTTCCTGAACAGCCCATCACCTGTTTGTCCGTATTCTGCTAACTCCGCCTAACTCATGGGTCCCATGTTCAAAAATGGTGGCTATCTGTGCCCTTGGGGTGTGTCGGTTCATATTCAATAAACTTATTAAGCAAGTGCAGTGGAGAAAAGCCCAGTCCTTGAACTGACAGGTTGCAACCGTTTTACCTTCTAGGGCTCTTTCTTAAGGAATTAGTTGTTTATAGAAAAGTTTGGAGCACTTTCTGATTGGCTGAGGGCGATCCACAAGATCTTGGAATTTCTTATCCTGCTGTGGAAGCCTAACTAACCCCTGAACTCTTTCTTACAGTAGACATGCCTCACGGAACAGGGAAAGCTAAAGTTTCAGGGCTGTATGACCTTTGTAAATCAAAACTGTCAAGCCCTCTATTCTTGGTGCCTTATTCTTTACTGTCCCAATTTCCCCCGAGGGAATGTAAGAGAAGGTGCCAGAGCAAGGAAGAACATAGATTACAAGGGGAAGGCAACCAGATAACACTGGACTGAATCATGGCCCCACTCTTCTTCCTTATTCTTTTTCCCTCACCAACAACCCAGGGCTTATAGATTCAGTCTCCAACCTTCCTATTGAGTTGCTAGTCTTGTGTGTCTCACTATATGAAGCCTAATCTCTCTCTGCTTTCTAAAGTGACAAGAAACTATACTCATAGATGAAACTGTGTTAGTATAATGATGGCTAAGAGCTAGATATCTATCTCTACAGTGTTTGTGTTTCTTTTTTTCTTTTTTCTTTTGGCTAAGCAATGGAGTTAAGTGACTTGCTCAGCGTCACACAGCTAATTAAGTGTCAAGTGTCTGAGGTCAATTTGAACTCAGGTTCTCCCGGCTCCAAGCCTGGAACTCTATCCTTTGGGCCACCTAGCTGTCCCTAGTGTTTGTGTTTCTTTAAAAGTATCCTTGAATCCTTGCCTTTTCCCCAAACCTAAATCTTAGGGACTAATTAACCTAAAGGAGTGACCCTAATAGGGAGTTTTCAGAGTATGTTGGAGGGAAGAATGAGATCAATATTCAAGCTGGCTTCTTGAGTCCACCTAAGATTATGCCCTGTGTACTTAGGAGACAATTGCAAAGAACATTATTCATTTATGAGTGATGGAAGTGAGAATCATTCAAAATATGAATTGCCTCTCCAAGAGATCTTTAAAAGCTGAATGGATGGACACAGGAAGAATGTTAGATGCATCTCTGCCTGGCAAGGAAGCAATGCAGTAGTGAAACATGCAAAATCTTTTCTACCCAATTCCACAACATTTATGTATTTTTATAATAAGATAATAGAATTAGAGATTTCATGTCTTTGGTATTTTTCTTCTGGTTTCTCCTACAAAAAGCATTATATGAGTAGAAGGTAACCCAATGCTCAAACCCAATTGCATAAGATTCTTCTCGTTGATAGAGATTAATTCCATATGTGAATGGGGGTGGAGTTGGCAAGAGTGTGGAAGAGCAAAGATCCTTGCTCTTTGGGTCTCCAGCTTTGAGAGGGACCACACATGGTTCCAGGCTTTCCTCAGGAAGAGGTCCCTGGAGGGGGAAGATGACTCTGGGAAGAAGTGGACATGCAGAAGAATCAGTGCCTTATTCATGTTCCTGTTCCTAACTTACCTGCTAGAGACTGTGGAATTTTTCCACAGTAAGATCAGGGACTCTTTTGATTGAACTGAAATGTCTCATTTCCAGTGGAAGAGCTCATTCATTGTGTATGTTGTCCAATATATTTTAATCTGTATAACTTCTTCCAATATCTATTTGTAATTTGCTTGGATAAATTGATTTGTTTGCTATTTATTTTGTGTGATGGTTATTGTGGAGCTGGTATTTGGTGGGAAAGGGGCTAAGCCTTTGAATATATAGCTTAGAATACTTCTGTCCCATTAAAGAGACAGTGGTTTGAACCTGAAAATTATTTCCACTAAACTAACAATAGTTAGGAGGCCAGATAAATATAATTGTAGTCTGCTACCTCTTCTCTAAGAGGAGAGCAGCAAGCCTCATGTTTCTGATCATTTCCCTGTCTACCAGGAATTGGTTTTCCTTGGAGAATGGTGGGCAGAGAAGACTATATTCATGGCCTTCTTGAAAGCCACTTCTAGGCAGACTAATGTAGACACACAACCTACATGGATAACAAACATAACCTACGTTGTATTCTCTTTCACATCAAGTTCTCTGCAGGCTCATTCTCTCCACTACTTTTCACCATTTTGTGAGATGATATTTGTAATCATACCTCACTTTCCTCAGTCATATTTTGCAGATGAGCTTATATTTGAAACTGTTATCGTCCTTTGCTTCTTTCTACTTGGCAGTTCATAAGTTGAAAAGCATTTATTAAGGAATCACTGGTTGAGGTGATTTCTGGGTTCTTTGACTTGTACGTGGCACTGTTTTGCATTGGTCAACTTCTCTAAGAAATGGTCAGGGAACCAATGTCTTTCCTTTTGTCTGTTTTCCAGAGTTGACCATTTCTTTGGATAGGTTGGACTAGAGCTGCTATAATGTACTTCATAACATTTCAGTTTTATCTTTTCTTCTAATTTGAAGTTAAAATGATGTGGATAGATAAATGGCCTCAAAGTTGGAAAGTTTGGAGTTCAAACCCTGCCTCTGACACATGCTGACTATGGGAATATGGGCAAGTCATTGAACATTTCTCTAAGAGCTCCAGGTAAAGGAAAGTTACTCACGTAGGAGTTCTCGATATTGGTAAAATCACAGGTAGTACCATATCACCTTCTAATATGGTATTTGTTTTGACTTTTTCTAAAAAGGCAGAAACTTTTCTCTAATTCTAAAATGACTACTATATTGGTAATCAACTTCCTATCAGTTGAGACATAATCAATTTTTTTCTTTTTTCTTTTTGGTGCTGTTCAGTGTTTTCCCCATCTAATTTTCTTCATGAAGAAAGTATTCTTTACATATAGGTATAAAGTTTCTGAGTAGCTTGCAAGTCTTTGGGCTCCTCCTTTGCTTGAGTCCCAAACCATGTTTTCCAACACAGTTTTTGTCATCTACTCCTGAGCCTGTTTTTTCCACATTCTGCATTGCACTCATCAATGAATAATAGTCCTTGGAATTAGTCCCCTCAGTAGGCAGGGCACGGTGTGAAGTAGACTGAAGAGACCTGCCTATTGGTGCATAAGTTGGTGTCAGCTTTAGGTTCTCTTTTTCTTTTTCTTTTTTTTATTATTAATTTATTTTTATTTTTTAACAATCACTTCCATTATGCTTTGGAGTTTTAAATTTTTCTCCCCATCCCTCCCCAAGACAGTGTGCAATCTGATATAGGCTGTACATATACATTCCTAATAAACATATTTTCCACATTAGCCATGTTGCAAAGAAGAGTTAGAACCAATAGGAGAAAACAAAACAGAAGGAGAAAAAATAGTAACTAGTATGCTTCAATATGCATTCAAACTCCATAGTTCTTTCTCTGGATGTGGATAGCATTTTTCCATCATGAGACTTTTGGAGATGTCTTAGATCCTTGAATTGCTGAGAAGGGCTAAGTCTATCAAAGTTAGTCATATCACAACATGGCTGTTACTGTGTACAATGTTCTCCTGGTTCTGCTCACTTCACTCGAAATTAGTCCATCCAAGTCTTTTCAGGGTTTTCTGAAGTCTGTCTGCTCGTCATTTCTTACAGCACAACAGTATTCCATTACATTCATATGCCACAACTTGTTCAGCCACTCCCTAATTGATGGGCATCCCCTCAATTTCCAATTCTTGGCCACCACAGAAAGAACTGCTGTAAATATTTTTATAGATGTGAGTCCTTTTCCCATTTTTATGATCCCTTTGGGATACAGCCCTAGAGGTGGTATTGCTGGGTCAAAGGGTATGTGCATTTTTATAGCCCTTTGGGCATAGTTCCAAATTGCTCTCCAGAATGGTTGGATCAGTTCACAACTCTACCAACAATGCATTAGTATTCCAGTTTTCCCACATCTTCTCCAGCACTTATTTTCCTCTGTTGTCATGTTGGCCAATCTGATAGGTGTGATGTGGTACCTCAGAGTTGTTTTGATTTGATTATGGAACACTTCACAAATTCACATATCATCCTTGCACAGGGGCTGTGCTAATCTTCTCTGTATCATTCCAATTTTAGTACATGAGCTGCTGAAGCAAACATAGGGTTCTCTTTTTCATGGTCATAGTGAACTATGTAGAATGAGGAGGGCAGTTGACTCAGAATATATATTTTTGTTTTCTTTTGGTTCATGATGAAACCAGTAGCACCAACTCCTCTACTATGTCCTGTCTGAAGTCAGTCCTGTATTTTAACTCTGACTTAAGTGTAACTCTCTTGTGTTCTGGTTGTTTTGATGGCAAAAACGTAAAGGTAGAGGTGGTTCCATTTCTCCGGTGGTGTACCAACTTGTTTATCATTGGGCAAGGTTTGGTTATTAACTCCAACCACTCCATTAATTCTTGTAGATGATCACAGGAGTGTAATACAAGGGATACAATAGGTTTAGAAGTCCTCTACTCTAACCTATTAATTTAACAAATTAGGTCCCAAAAGTTGAAATGGTTTTTTCCCAAGGTCACATAAGTAGTAATTGTCAGAAATGAGATGTGAATCGAGGTCCTCCAACTTCAAATCAAGTGATGTCTCTTCTATTGCTTGATTAAAAGTACTGCATAGGACTGAAGGTTATCTTTTTTATTCATTTTGTGGTCATACCATCTGGTGACACATCTCTTTGCACTTAGAAGCACCGATTATAGGCTTATAGATTGAGAGTGAAAGGGACGTTAAGACTTAGTAAGTCTACCCCCATCACACATTCTCATTCAAATGAGAAAACTAAAGCTCAGAGAGATTAAGTGACTTACCCAGGTTATTATTGTTGTTGTTCAGTCACGTCCAACTTTTTGTGATCCCATTTGGCAGAGATACTGGAGTGCTTTGCCATTTCTTTTCCAGCTCATTTTAAGATAATAAAACTGATGGAGATCACATTGTTGGTGGAATTGTGAACTGATCCAACCGTTCTGGAGAGCAATTTGGAACTATGCCCAAAGGGCTATAAAAACGTGCATACCCTTTGACCCAGCAATAGAACTTCTAGGGCTATATCCCAAAGAGATCATACAAATGGGAAAAGGGCTCACATCTGTAAAAATATTTATAGAAGTTCTTGTTGTGGTGGCCCAGAATTAGAAATTGAGGTGAGGGATGCCCATCAATTAGGGAATGGATGAACAAGCCGGGGTATATCAATGTAATGGAATGGTGTTGTGCTGTAAGAAATGATGAGCAGGCAGACTTCAGGAAAAACCTGGAAAAACTCTGATGCTGAGTGAAGTGAGCAGAACCAGGAGAACATTGTACACAGTAATAGCCATGTTGTGCAATGACTAACTTTGATAGATCCTTGTATTACTGAGAAGAGCTATGTCTAAGACAACTCCAAAAGACTCACAATGGGGGAAAAAAGAACTATCCACATCAAGAGAAAGAACTACAGAATCTGAATGCAGATGGAAGCATACTATTTGCTCTCCTTTTCTTTTGTTGTTTTGATTCTTCTTTCTTGTGGTTGCTCCTATTGGTTCTAATTCTTTACATCATGACTAATGTGAAAATATGCTTAATATGAACCTATAAGTAGAGCCCATATCAGATTGCATGCTGTCCTGGGGAGGGGGGAGGAGTGGGAGGGGCAGAAAATTTGAAACTTAATCTTATGGAAATGAATGTTGAGAACTAAAAATTAATAAATAAATTGTTTAATTAAAAAAAAAAAAAGAAAGAAATGAAGGCTGTAGTCTGCAGAACCCTGTAAAAAGACTGTATCTACCTGATAGTGAAATATGCAGACAAAATGGGGGAAGTAAAACTGAAATTATATAAGGGGGAAAAATGAAAGAAGAAAAAGCTTTTTTAAAAAAGCCTTCTGCGTGAAACAGAATTATAGTGGAAATGAACAGAAGAAGAAGTGTTTAATAAATTATTATCCAGCTGGGGGAAAAAATGATGAAACTCAGGCAAACAGGGTTAAGTGATCTGCCCAGGGTCACACAGCTAGTAAATATCTGAGGCCAGATTTGCACTGGGATCTTCCTGACTCCAGGCCCAGCACTTGAGTCACTGCGCCACTTAACTGCCTAACTTATGCAGGGCCATGCAACTAATACGTGTCTGAGGAAGGATTCAAACCCAGGTCTTGCTGACTCCAAATAAAGCTCTGATCTGTTGGAAAACCTCTGAAGACTTCCTAGCTTTGAGCAGTACTTCCCAGAGCTTGTACTCAACTAATATAACCTAAGAAAGCTAAGACAATTTCTGTCTCGCTTTAAGGGTTAGAAGATGCTTTCCTCACAATAGTATTACCAGGCAGTGTTTACTTGAAGCAGTTTTCCCATAGCCACCTAGCTATTAGGTGGGAGAGCCATCATTTAAACCCGGGCCTGATGATTCCAGCTCTAAGTGAGCTAATTCAGCTTGGTCAGAGCAGAGAACTTACAAAGTGTTTCACAAGTTACTCTGGTTAGAGGAAAAAAAAAATTGGCCTCAAAATCTATGACTTCATGAGAGCAAATCCAGTTGGAAGTCTGAGTCTGGAGAGCTACTTTCAGCTTTGCAGACAAAACTGCTGTTTATTTCTATGCATTTGTGTGCTCTCCAGAATGACGTTAGATTTGTTCTATCAGCAGTCTGACCGCTATTTTCCCTTTCTCCCTTGCGTAAAAGTGTTAATTGAGCACCTGCCTCCTTCTCAAATACATAATCCTATGAGTCCTTTCACAATGAACCATTTTCTCAATAGTCTAAGAGCCTATGAAGCATTCAGTAGTGAGGTTTGTCACTGCTAATCATTCTTCGGAGACCAATTGAGAAAGTTAATGTCTTTGTTTTTCTTAGTTGCTTTCTTTAAACAGAAGTGGAAGTACTTTCTGGGGATTCCGGTCACTTCTTGCTGAAATGAACACGTCATCCACCTGGTATCTGATTAAAACTACCAACAAGCTCTTTGGAGAAAATGCTCTAAATTTCCTCGCAGTAAGTAACATATTTCTACTTTATCATAAAGTGGTAATGAAGAATGGAAATGACAACAATGAATGATGAAGAAAATAGAAAGAAAATCTGAGACTAGACTAGTCCTTTCTCCACCCTACTTCACTGCTTCTATTTAGACACTATACTGTCTAATAACACAATTTGCATGAACATTGAGGGCTTGTGGTTAAGATGTGGATGTAGCTCATTAGAGGGGAAAAAATTCTTTCCTCCTTCTTCTGTTTGGTTTTCTCTTTCCCTTCCCTCTATTTCACCCAGACTGGAAGTGCAGGGGCAACTCATGGCAGAGTCTCTTGAGAATCTTTGAGCGCAGGAGCTTTAACCTGCTATCTTTCCAACCTGGGCCAGTGTTCTCCTCCATAGGCAACCTGGTGGCCCTCATTCCTAGAAGCTTACAATTTTGATATTAGACCTAGTGTGGACAGCCCATCCACATTAGCCCTGTCTCAACTCTGAATTCCCCAGCTCAAGCTATTCACTAGCCTCAGCCTTATTATAGGCACATACCACCATTCCAGTCCAAAGAAAAGTTTTCTAAATCCTAGGAAATTTTGATGATTGTTTTCAGAAATAAGGATATTACTCTTTTTTCTTTCTAGTCTCTTAATTGCTAAGAATGGATGAAGGCCCTAGATTAGGGTAGCCAAAAACTTGGGGAAGAAATGGTAGCAATTACTACATATTCATCAAGCCTCAACAAATATAAGTACCTACGATGTATTCAAGACATTACTGTAAAATAAAACTAATGCAAAATCTGTATAGGATTGGTTATTTATCCTTGAAAAGTTTACTACCTCATTTTTGAGATAGACTAACACTCTTGAATTTTTTTTATTTAGTTTTTAGAATAGATTCTGTCTTGAATAGAGTGTTTCTTTTCTAGGTTGTTAACGGTATATGAGAAGGAGTGATATGTATTTATTTGCTTGTCTGGACCTGTGATTTAACTAGTATAGTGAACTCCCAGATGAGGAAAATCCTTTCTGCTCTGCAGGATGGTACCTTCTGTGCTACTTGCAGTCTCAGAGTTACCTGGGGCATTGAGAATTAGGGATTTTTCCAGGGTCACATAGCAAATGTGTGTGCATGTATAGCACATTACATATATACACACACACACATATCTATGTGTGTGTGTGTGTATGTGTGTGTATATACATATGTATATATATACATATATATGTATATATATATATACATACACATATATATATGTATATATATACATATATATGTATATATATACACATATATATATACATATATATGTGTATATATATACATATATATGTATATATATATATACATACACATATATATATGTATATATACATATATATGTGTATATGTATATATACATACATACACATATAAAACTCTTAGAAAATGTGGGGGACATAGAAGGAGGAATGTTGCTCTGATCTATTTTTTCCTCTTCTAGTCCTTTAGGGACTCCTGTTTCAAATTCTGCAATTCAGTGATGGAAGATGTTTGCTTTTCTCAAGAGACAGAGGCTGTCAGGAAACACATAAATGCTTGGGTAGCAGAGAAGACTGAAGGTTATAAATTCTGTCTTTCTGTGTTATCTATATTGGTCATCTTTTCAGGAAAATTCATTTCATTTTATTTTTAATTTATGGACTAAAACAAACATTTTTGTAACTTTACACAATAAAAAGAAGAATGTACATGAAACTGCAAATCTACTATGCATGGCTTGCTATTCCTTTCAAATATACAACAAATATATTGTGCAAATTTTTTTCTTTTTTTCCTTTCCTCCACCCCTACCCCCACCCTAGAGATGGCTACCATTACTGCAGAATCTCATTGTTGATGGGCACATCAGAAGCCATTTAGTCCTACCTATACCTTGCCAATGATCCCTCCCACAACAGACCTGACAAGGGGTCATCTAACCTTTCTTTATAGGCATGTAGTGGGCAGGAACATCGTATCCCATAACGCAGCCCATTCCACATTTGGAATGCTATAATCTTTAGGAAACTGTCGTTACAGAGAACCCAAATCTACCTCTCTGTGCGTTCTACCCTAGGTAGTCTTGCATTTTTCAGCTATGTTACAGTTCTCTAGTGATTTCTGGCCCAATCAGTGATCAAATGCAGTGAAGCCTGTGTAGGATGCTAGAAGCGCTAAAACAGTTTCCCACCCTATTTAACCACAGTCACCTTTTCAGAAACTGATACTCATGCCTTCCATCCCAGCCAAGTGTCCTTTTCCCATTTTCTATTTTTCACTTTTTTTTTTTCAACAATGAGACCTGCTTACATTATTTCTTCTATCAATTTTCTTTCACCTAATCCTTCAGAGTCATTCCCTGGCTCCCATTGAGTTCAAACTAAAATTCTGTCTTCTATGGAAAGGCTTTCCCAACCCCTTCAAATTCTAGTACTATATTTCTATTAAGTATTTTCTACTTATCTTCTTTATCTGTTGTCTCATCCATTAGATTATCAGCTCCTTGAGGACAGGGAATATCTTTGGCCTCTTTTTGTATCTCCAGTACTTAGCACTATACCTGGTACAGAGTAGATACTTAACAACTGTTTGTTGATTGATTGACCCTGGATTCCTGAAAGTTTTAGGAGTGTGGCACAACATCTCCCAAAATGAAGTACTTGGGGTCTGGGTCCAGTGACAGTCTGTAGATTTCTGTGATCCACTGACCAATATAACTAAATATTGAGAAGTTATCTCAGAAGATTATCCCACTGAAGTTTTTTGTTTTGCTTATTTGTTTTTTAACCATTGCAACTCATAAATAATCTACAAAGATATGGAAGGAAGGTTGCTGTTATCTCCATGGAAGCATATTATCGAGACATTAAATATGTATTTTATTTGTGCACTTTTTTTGGTCTCTCATTACTTGATGAAAGATTATTTCCTTGATAGTAGGGATTACATGCTACCAAACCACTAGTAGCCTAATATAGTGCTATGTACCTTGTAGATATATAAATGATCTTTTTTTGAGAATGAAGAATTTCTATTAAGATTATGCTTAATATTAAATTAGTTCAGAAACTTTGAAAACCCAGTGCTCAATCTAGATTCTATTTTGCATAAACCATGTCAAATGTTATTAAAAATAATACTTTTTCTGGGGAAAAAAACTAAACCCAATTCCTATTTTTCTTCAAAGGTAATATTTCAGAGGCTCTTCCTGATGGTCTTGTTGATCCACTTAGCCTGCTGGTCTTTGTGAATGCCATCAACTTTAAAGCAACCTGGGAGAGGGCATTTGATCCAAAACACACCTATATTGATATTTTAAAAGTCAATCAGGTAGAGTGTGAACATGAATGGGGGGGATAGAGGAATAGGTTTCCAGATACCTTAGAAGTGTCAGGAAGAGATAAATTGGAATTAATTACAGTATTCTTCAATTTTAAGAGTACCCATGTATAGTTTATAAATTTGAAAATATTTTAAATTATACCTGTTTGCTTTTTTTCTACCCTTTTCAGTAATCTGGCTTCAGTCATGAATCTGTTTGTTTCCTTTTAAGCATGAGAGAACGACATTGCAGATTATGAAGAACAAAGAGGAGTTTCTGACATCTCCTTTAGAGGAGCTGGGTGGACAGCTATTTATCTTTCCCTATCGTGGAATGGAATTAACCATGATCCTTGTCTTTACTTCTGATAGTGACCTAACTAAGGTAAGGCTGGGTGGATAGAATGGCAACATTACATTGTGGCACATCTTCATTCCAGCAATACCTTCCATGGGACACAATTATTACAAAAGTCATTGAAAATGATTCCCGTTCTGTTATGTTGAATATTCAAATGGTCAGGCATAGCTGGTGGCAAGAAAAGACAGAATGGGTTCCTGAGATAATAAAGCTTTTTTTTTTTCTGAAACATCATTGGATTTTGAGAGCAATATAAATGTATTTGCTCAAAAAAAGAGAAATGATGTTACTGTCATTAAAAGAGGAAATATGTCCTGAGAATTGAGTTCCTTTAAGTCATCTGGGGGATGGGGAGAGTAAGGAGGACAGGAAAGATGAGAAAAAGAAGAAAAAACTTAGTAATAATTACGAAGCAGAGATTTGGATTGCTTGTAGGTATGTTGGGAAAATGTTTAGTTTTTGATGTCTACAACCTGACCCTTTTAAAGTGTCATTATCTGTTTTTAACAAGTACAATCCACATTGATATTACCTTCTCATATTAATGGCTACCTGTATGTCTAAGCACCATGCATATCCACTATTTTTCCTAGTTTCCCAATCTAAGTTGATTCTTGTTCTTACTTCTGTTCTCCGTTCCATGGATAATTCCCCTCCTTTCTTCAACCAGCTTCTCACAGTGTACCTGCTTTAGATACATCTTGGTATTCTTTCAGTTGTGTATTTCGATGTCCTAACCCCTCTCCTGCCTCTGGATTCTCCTGCAAATGAGGCAGGCTTGGTCTGAATGCAAAAGAATTTATTAAGCAGTTAACTAAGTACTATGCTAAGCCTGGGGTTAAAATACAAAAGAAAGAGTACTAGGGCAGCTAGGTGGCACAGTGGATAGAGCACCAGCCCTGAAGTCAGGAGGACTTGAGTTCAAATTCTGCCTCAGACCAAACACCTGACACTTGCAAGCTGTGTGACCCTGGGCAAGTCACTTAACCCCAATTGCCTAAAAACAAAACAAAACAACAACAACAACAACAACAAAAAACCCCAACCAAATAAACACACAAAAGGCAAGTTGTAACTGATCAGTGCTGAAGTCCACCAACACATCTTAACAAACAAGTGTTGGCAGGCAAGCTTGTTGAGCATTGTCAGGAAATCCAGCAAGCTTCAGCAGGAATTTGTTCGTGTAATTTCTTGTGTACAATATGATACTATACAGTTACATGAAGCAATATTGCATCATCAAAATTTTAAGGCATGAAAACCCCACGAATTTACAATAAATTATTAAATTTAAGATGCATTATTTTAAATATATATTTTACATATTTTTCAAATGACACAAATTTTTTAAAAAATTAAGGGGTTAAAGAAAGTACATTTCAAGGGGGCACTGAATACTTTTTTTTAAAGGGGGTGGTAAGCCAAATAAGTTTGGGAACCTCTGTCCTAAACTTTTAAATGCCCAGACTCCTTCTCACAGCAAGAAGGAATTGTCCCCTCCTTTCAAAAACAACAACGTCATCTTTTCCTTCTTTCAAAGACAGGAACAAATGTATTATTAATTATTCAGTTGTTGAATACACGTTCACACTGTCATGTACCTTTGATCTCTCCTTAGAGAATAAAAGTGGCCTTTTCTTGTCACTAAAGGAACTTTGGGAAACATTAAGCAGATGGGAGGATGAGGAAGAAGAAGTGGTTTTGATTTTTGTTCTGTTTTGTTTTGTTTTTACCCTGAAATCATTCTAGGCTTTCTCAAGCAACCTCCAGGTTTGCCCTGAGCTAGGTAGTCAGGCCTGAAGTCAGAAAGGTCTAAGTTCAAATACAGCCTCAGACATTTCCTAGCTCTGTGACTCTGAGCAAGTCACTTCACCCCTGTGTGCTTCGGTTTCCTCAACTATAAAGTGGGAATAATTACAGTACCTACCTACAAGGTTGTTTTGAGGATCAAATGAGAGCACCTGGCATGCAGTAGGTACTATATAAATGTTTGTTTCTTTCTGTTCCCCTTCCCCCAAGATTAACCTGAATTAGCCCTTTGAAGATGACAAACAAAAAGAAATCCAAAGTATCTCCAACCAGATAGCATCCTGTTCCTCCAAAGACAAGTTAGACCTTAACTAGTCTAGTTAAGGTTACTAGACATTTAGATGTGGCTGTTTCTGTGAGTGAAGAAACATTATTAGTTTATTCTAGGTCCTGGAGCCCACTCTGAACTAACATATATATATATATCTGTCAACCAGGCTCCCTTTCCCTAAATCTCCCTTCATTTCCCAGTCCAAGCATAGAAGGTGAATTCTTCCATATTCTACCTCTAATCTTTACCTATATTTTCACCTCCCACCCCAGAATTTGGTCTTATTTCAATTGGAGTGTCATGATATTTGTGTGTGTGTTGTGTATGTATGTGTGTATATAAACACATTTTTTGTGAAATTATATGGGCATGTATTTCTGCACATTCATAACTCCTTCAAGACACTGCAAATATACATAAATCATAACCTCCCTTATCTGAAACTCCTCTTCCATTTTTTCTTTCTACCACCTATAAAGAAGTTGCAAATAAATCATTGGAATGCTTCTCATTTGGTAAAGAGGCAGGAATCTCAAACAAGCTGGACAGGCCTAGCAGGCTGGCAGAGAACATGCAGCTCTAAAGGTTACTTTCATTCCATCTAATCTGTCACCAAATGAAGAATAGAAAGCAATGCTATTTTTGCTATATAGAGTGAATTTGAAGTAGAAAAGGAAAGTGGATAAAAAGTTAGCCTGGAGCCCAGGAAAACCTGGATTCAAGTTCTGCTGCTAACACAAACTAGCTGTGTGATGTGCTATAAGTCATTTAACTTTCCACTGATCTAGGCACCTGTGTGACTATAAATTGTAGACCCAATGCAGGTCATTGAGTATAGGGAATAAGGTTTCTCTCTCAAGTGTTTCCTTAACAAAGATATCACCAGTCCAACTCCTATTGTTCTATCAAAGAACTCTATAAATATTACCGTGTATTTCTTTTATTTGTAAAGACTTGTTACTGATTTATCTGGAAAGGCATTAGAAACCATTGAATTTACACTTTGTAGGAAAGGGTTTTAGCCTCTCCATTTTAAGATACCCTTATTGATTTCATCTTGTTTTAAAAAGTGGTAATGGTACTTCTCCAACCTAGGGGAGGTCACTTGATCTCTCTGGGCCTCAGTTTCCTCATCTGTAAAAAAGAGGGGTTTGCACTAGAGGCTTTCTAAATCTTTTTTTTTTTTAATTCTACCCATTATTTCATGGGCAAAGTGAATTCCAATGCAGATCAGCACTTTCTCTGTAATCTGTAGTTTTGGAGAGTTACCTGTGATTACTGAGAGTTTAAGGAACTTGTCCAGAGTCAGATTGCCAGTATGTATCAGAGACAAGGTGAACCCTGGTCCATTCTGTATGCATTTAGCATTCTTTGAATCCCAACTAAAATTCTACCTTCTCTAAGAAGTTATTCAAGTTCCTCTTAAAGTCAGTGTCTTCCGTGTGTTAATTATCTCCAATTAATCCTGTATGTGTCTTGTTTGCACGTAGTTGTTACCATGTTTTCTTCCTCCATCAGACTGTGAGCTCCTTGAGAACAAGAACTATCTTGGCCTTTCTTTATACCTGCAGCACTTAGCTCAGTGGCTGGCACATAATAGATAATAATTACTTCTTGATTAAGCATGACCTTTCAGATCTTATGGTTAGATTGAAGAAATTAAGCCAAGAACAGAATCCCCTAAAAGAGAAAAGATCAAGTGCAAAGTTGCTAATAGAGATCCTGATTCAATGCCTCAGAAACAAGATAAAAGAAAGGTTCATTGACACAAAGCTACAGAATACATATTATTTTGGGTGATTTGTATGCTGAATCCGACAACAACAATAATAACTACCATTTACAAGTATTTTAAGTTTGCAAAGTGCTTTACCTATGTTATCTTATTTGATTTTCACAACGACTCAGAGGTAGGTCCTATATTTCCATTTTACAGATGAATTAAATAAGTCTGAGACAGGTTACGTGATTTTTCAAGGGTTGTATGTCTAAGACACAACTCGGACTTCCTTACTCCAGTTCCAGTGTGGCTGGAACCATCCACTTCTGTGCAACACATGATATTTACCAACTGTTAACCAATCTATGGTTTGTCAGATTTCAATCCATTGTGTCAAATCCCTTTAGCTTTCTCACCCCCAATCCCAGTCCTGTATTATTAACAGGAAATTGTAAAGTGCTTAGACTTTTCTTCAATTCCTCCTCAATTATGTGGTTATAGTTAAAATTAAACCTAATCCCAAAGGTCAGGGAAGAATGTATCTTGGAAGATGAGGTTAGCAGGAAGGAAAGAAAGGAGGAGAGGCATAAAGCATAGATATTGACTAGCAAACAGACTAAAGTTGCAACAGACTCTAGGGAAGCAGCTGATTTGTAGCTTCAGTGTGGAAGGAATATAAACATATAGAGTTATGCAGGTAGCAGGATCTTAGGATTTTCAACTTTTGTCTTCCAGTTGGAAAAAGGGCTTACCTATGAAAGATTTATAACCTGGACAAAGCCAGAAGCAATGGCCTTGATGGAAAATCATGACAAGACATTTTTACTCCCCAAAGTCAAGATAGAAGAGACCTGTGACTTGGAGCATGTCCTCTACAGTTTGGGAATGTCAGATGCATTTGATGAGCAAAAGGCTGACTTCTCTGGAATGTTGATACTCAAACATTTGTATTTATCCAAGGTTTTGCATACATCTTGCCTGGAAATCAATGAAGAGGGCATCAAGGCATCTGCTGCCACTATAGCAGCAGAGATACCAGCAGCTTCAAAGAGAGATGAAGGACTGAAGGCTAATGGTTTCTTTCTATTTTTTATCTGGAGCTATAAAACTAAAAGTATCCTGTTCTGTGGCAGAGTTTCCTCTCCTTAAAGAGATGCAGTCACTACCCCAGCATTTTCCCTTTTGCTACTTCCCTGACTCTCTCTTCCTAAGATCCATAAAAATGTTATCTGCGTGCGTATAAAGCCTTAGATAAGAAACAAAAATATGTAAAACACTTTACTGTGAAACTTTGCATATGGACTGTATAACCTTGTAAATTTTCATCCTGGCAGGCACTGGGGATAAGGTTGGGAGTGTGAAGATTTAGAATGTAAAAGGAAAAGCCTATACTAGTGTGACCTGGGTAGGAGGGTCTAAGTCTATCAAATATTCTCTCTTCTTTGTTTATGTTCTTACATCTTTAGTAGAAGTAGAGGGAATTAGTCAATGATTTTCATTGAGTCCTTGTAGGCTGAGCCCTAGAGATACTTCTAATAAAAAAAACCATCCTTCCTACCACCTATACCTTTGTTTTCCTGAGATTAAATAACAGAACTATACTGTGTGTGATTAAAAGTGCTGTGCTTTTAACAATAAGAAAACATTTTTGATTTAATGATAGGAGAGGTTATGGAAGATTAATACCTGAAAAATTATGACATCTAAATGGGAATTGTAAGAATATACATATTTCTTAGCATTGTACATTGGGCCTTTATAAAACTAGACTATGTTCTAGAGCACATGGAAACTATAAATTAAGTTTTAAAACTGAAAAAATAAGTCTAGTTAAGTACGAGGGGAAGAAAAGAAAGACAAAAAAGGAGTGGGTGGTAGAAGAAACTAGTCCCTGACCTAGATACCTTTGCATTGTAATACGGAAGACAACACTTAGATAAGAGATATTTACAGAGTCCATGGAAGAGCCTCCAAGAGGAGAAGTCATTTTTTGTGAGAACTAGGAAAGGCCTTGTGCAGTGGGTGGACTTTGAGCTGAATCTCAAAAGAAATCTGGGAAAGTAAGGGGTAGAAGTGAGGGGGTAACACATCCATGTGTGTGAAAGCGTGGAGAAAGCAGGGGAAGTGTCATGTTGAAATGAGAATAAGCCAGTGTTATTGGAATATATAGTGCATGGAAGAGCCTAAGATACACGAAGACTGAAAAGGTACTAAAAGAGCAGGTTATGAATAGCTTCCATATAACAGAGACTCAGTGGAGTTCTTTGATGTGGGGAGGTAGTCAGATCTGTGCTATAGGGAAAAAAATATGTGAAGCTGACTAGAGGATGGTTTGGAGAGGGGAAAGAAAGACTTTAGCTGAGGAGAACAAGTATAAGTCTATTACCATACTATGGGAAGGAAATGATGTAGACCTCAGTTAGAGTAACGGGTCAATGAATGAAGAGAAAGGGACGCAAATATTATGTAAAAATATTATGCCAAAAATGAGAAACTCTAAAGCAATAAGGAAATGTAGAAGTTGGGTAGATGTTACGGGAAAGATTATGAAGTCGGTTTTTGATGTGATGAATTTGAGATATACAAAAGGCAGTGATGTTGGACTGAAGCTCAGAAGAAAGACTAAGGTGGGTACATCTCAAATTATATTACAAAACATCAATCATCAAAATAATATGATCTTTGCAAAAAAAAAAAGTGAAATCAATCCGTAGAACAGATTAGGTAGGAAGTATATAAAATAATATAAATTTGGAAGGCTAGTATTAAATGAGACACCAAGCCCCAGATTCACTATTTGACTACTGCTAGGAAAACTGGAAAGCAAACTGGTGAAAAATAATGGAATCTAACACCAAATGCCATGATAAACTTTAAATGGATGTATTTCACTCCAAAAAATTATTAAATAATGACAAAAATAAAATTCTGGAGTGGCCACTGGTAACAAAAAGACAGAATGGGAAAAAGAGGGGTAAGGAGAGAGAGAGTTTTGAAAGGATGGAGGGGAAATAGAAGGCGGCAACAAGAGAAATAAAGGGAGGGAAGGAGAGAGAGGGTGGGAGGAAGAGAGACAGAGAAAGACGAAGAAGGGAGGAAATGAAAGGGAGGTTGAAAGAAAAGAGAAATGGAGGAAGGAGAGAAGAATGTAAGGGTAGACAGGATGGCAAATAGAGGAAGGGAGAAAAGGAGAAAGAGGAAGGGAGAGAGAGGGGAGGTGGGAGGGAAAGACTACAGGAGGAAGAGAGAGAGAGTGAAGGAGTGATGGGAGAAGAGAGAGTAGAGGAGGGAGACAGAGAAGTAGGGAGAGAGCCAAGGAGACACAGGGAAACAGAAGGAGGAAACAGAGAGAGAGAAGAGAGACAGGAAGACTGAAAGGTGCTGATGCTGAACATGCGCCACCCCCCCTCCCCCTCCCACCCGGAGGATTCAATCCCATCTTGGTCACCCGATTTCAGCCTCCCCGGCCTAAATAAGCTTTTTCTGCTGACAATAGACACCAGGAACCCATGACAGCTGATCCTCTGGAGATGTCTGAACGTTATCTACTCATGTAGATAAGAGACAAAAGAAGGGAGGAAAGGAGAGCCAGGTGGAAGGGGAGAAAGGGAAATGGAGGGAAGGAGAAGGGAGAGAGGGCAAGATACACAGGGAAAGAGAGGAACAGAGGAAAGGAGAGAGAGGATGGGAGTGGGGAAGGAGGGCTACTACAAGAGGGAGAGAGAGAGTAGGGGAAGGAGACAGAGAAGGAGGGAGGGAGGAAGTCTTGAAGAGAGATAGAAAAATAGAGGAAACAAGAGGGTGAGAGGTGAGAGAAAGGAAGTCAGAAATGGTGGGAGAAGGGGAGAGGGGGAGAGAGAGAGAGAGAGAGAGAGAGAGAGAGAGAGAGAGAGAGAGAGAGAGAGAGATGCTTGGTGATTGGCACATGTGAAAATCTAACTGTGATGCTGAGGGGTCAAATGACCCTTCTTTGGAAATCTCCCTGCTTAGGAGACTCATGGAATTCTGACTCTCCGATGGAAGGTTGGTTTGAGAAGAATTTCCTTTCCCTATCAACTCTGATTCTTGGCCATGGGACTTCCCCTGTTAGGTATCAGTCAGATGAGGGAGGATGGGAAGGAGAGAATTTTGAAAAGACAGAGAGAGGTTTTGGGGTGGGGGGGGAGAAAAGGAGAAAGGAGAGAGAGAGAGAGAGAAAGAGAGAGAGAGAGTCAGAGAGAGAAAGAGAAATAGTTGGTGACTTGTGAGTTTGGAAATCATAGGCTGATTTGGAGGTGCAGAATGGCTTTTATTCTGTAATCTCACTGCCTAGGCCTGTGTTGGAATGGCAACCCATGGATTGAATGGCGGTTGGAGAAGACATCCTTGTAGCCAGGGACTGTGATTGGCTTAGTCCTGGCTTCCCTTGGTAGTTGTGAGTAAGGTGCCAAAGCCTTGGATGTGTTGAGGATTTTGGAGGGTTAAACTTTTGGAAGTACCAAGTGATTCCAGGAAGCCTCACCCACCAGGGAGACCTCTTTTGTGCTGGCCACCCAGTCTCCGCTTGGCCACACCTAGTACTCTGCCCATATAAGGAGGTGGAGTGGGTCTCCCTCTTCATTTTCCACTTGCACCTTGGAGAGCTTGGAGAGCTTGGTGCTTTTGGCTTCCCCAGCCTAGGTAGGCTTTTTCTGCTGACAGTAGATGCCAAGAACCCGTGGCAGCTGATCGTCTGGAGATTTCTGGCCAGCATGGTGGATGACTTTGAGAGTGCGTCTGGAAGGAGTGACCGAGATCCTGCGTGGCCTGGAGGAGGGGCGCTTCATGTATGGCCTGGAGTGTCTGCAAGAAGCTGTTGGCCTCTTGCCCAGCTGCATTTGTCACCTGCTGCAAAGCCCCTCTTCTGGCCAAGAAGGGGTCCCAGATGTCTCTGCAAGCTCCTGGATGAGCTGCTGGAGTGTTTGGGAGATGTGGGGGAAGACTCCAACACTGCCTCCATTTTCCACACTCTTGCTCACGTTCAGACTCAGCTGCAACTGCTGGCACCTGCCCAGGACCTGAGCCACCTGCACGACTTGGCCCAGGTGATGCTGAACATGCACCCCCTAGGAGGCTTCCAGCCAGAAAGCTACCACCCCGACCTGGTCGCCCACCTGGCCCCCATCCATATCTTGCCCATTCTCGACACCTTAGATGAAGTTGTCCATGAAATGTTCAGCCCCACCAACATCCAGCAGCTCCTATCACTTCACCACTTTCTGAATGCACCCCAGGCTGTGCCCGCAGCCTAACACAGCTCTTACACACCTTCCTCCCATTCCCATAGGTCATACTACACAACATGCCCTCCCAGTATTTGTGTGTGTGTGTGTAAGGGTGTGAGAGAGAGGGACAGAGAGACAGTCTGATACATACACATACACACACACACACACACACATACCACACACACACCCAGACAAATGCATGTAAATAGAGACAGAGGAAGGGAGGAAAGGAGAGCCAGGTCGAAGGAGAGGAAGGGAAATGGAGGGAAGGAGGAGGGAGAGAGGGCAGTATACACAGGGTGGGAAAGAGAGGAACAGAGGAAAGGAGAGAGAGGGATGGAAGTGGGGAAGGAGGGCTACTACAGGAGGAAGAGAGGCAGTGGAAGGGAGGGCAGAAGAGAAAGTAGGGGAAGGAGACAGAGAAGGAGGGAGGAAGCCCTGAAGAGGTAGAAAAATAGAGAGAGGAAATGAGAGGGTGAGAGGTGAGAGAAAGGAGGGCAGAAATGGTGGGAGAAGGAGAGAGGGAGAGGGAGAGGGAGAGTTAGAGGGAGAGAGAGAGAGGGAGACAGAGACAGAGAGAGACAGAGAGACAGACAGAGAAAGAGAGAGAGAGAGACAGAGACAGAGAGAAAGTGTGATGCCTGGTGGCTGGCACATGTGAAAATCTAACCGTGATGCTGAGGGTCAAATGACCCTTCTTTGGAAATCTCCATGCTTAGGAGGCTCATGGAATTCTGACCCTCTGATGGAAGGTTGGTTTGAGAAGAATTTCCTCTCCCCATCAACTTTGATTCTTGGCCATAGGACATCCCCTGATAGGTATCAGTCAGATGAGGGAGGATGGGAAAGAGAGAGTTTTCAATAGATAGAGAGAGGTTTAGAGGGGGGGAGAAAGACAAGGAGAAAGGGGAGAGAGAGAGAGAGAGAGAGAGAGAGAGAGAGAGAGAGAGAGAGAGAGAGAGAGAGAGAGAGAGAGAGAGAGAGAGAGAGAGAGAGAGAGAGATTGCTTTGAGAGTGTGTCTGCAACTTGTGATGGAGATCCTGCCTGTCCTGGAGGAGGGTCGCTTCATGTATGGCCTCGAGTGTCTGCAAGAATTTGTTGGCCTCTTGCCCAGCTGCATTTGTCACCTGCTGCAAACCCCCTCTTCTGGCCATGAATGGGTCCTAGATCCCTTGGGTCTGGTTGAGTTTCTCCAGGCTTTGGTTAGGTTCAGGACGGCTCTGTTGAAATTGTGCCCCACACATGTCTGTAGCCTCCTGGATGAGCTGCTGGAGTCTTTGGGAGATGTGGGGGAAGACTCCAAAG